AAATTATTTCTATTTCCAAATATGTTGAAAGGTTACAAATGTAAAAGTTGTTTTGTATGACTTGAAGTATTAGTGTACAGAAAATATAATGACAGAACCTATGTATAGGAACCCAGTGTCATAATTTGTAATCAGTAAGTCCAGGTGTTAAAGTAAAAAAAACAAAAGGCTGAACAAAGCAGTAAGCTGCAGATCTGGCAGGCACCTTGGAAGCCGGGACTTCTGTAGAGCTAGACAGACAGACGGCTAAGGTGCTTCATTGCAATGTGCAATATTAATCTTGCTGCTGGACACCACTTGAACAGTCAAGTTAGCTCTTAATCTATATTTATATTCTCCTTTTATGTTAAATGTATGTTGAACTGGTATTACATGACGTGTTGTTTCCTCCGGATGGTAAGTCCAGAGGGAGGAGAGCAACAATGTTAAAAATAAAACCGGGGCAAAAGAGGACAAAGTCATGGTTAGTGTAAACCAAAGATGATATTATTGCAATGCTGACAGAAGGGAAACCCAACACAATACTCTCTCAAAAGAAAAAGCGACTAATCAGGTAAGTCCATAATCAACACAGTTCATTAACTGAAAGAGATAAGTTCAACACTAACTGAACATGTTCCACAAAAAGTCCTCTCTCCAATGAGGAGCTAAACCAACACATGGTTCTGGACTCACAGAAAACAAGCTGTTTTCAACACACCTGATTGAACAGTCTGCCACAGCCCGCTGAGCTGGCTGGGAACAATGTGCTTCCTAGGTTTGGTTTCTCAGTAGCGTGGTCTCAACAGGGAAGGGAAAACGAAGAGTGCTGTGAAAAACCCAAGCCTTCTTAACCTCCAGGCACTGAGTGGTGATCAGGCACACCTGCTGCCACTCTCTCATGCAGCCAAGGCATGGGGGGAAATGCCACTACCTGAGAGAGCAAAGAGAGAGAAAGAACACACCCAAAACCAAACACATGGCCCTTAGGGTTGTAACATTGACATATATTTATAGAGAATTGTAATGCACATTTAGGTTGTCACAAAGTAATCTGCTACACAATAACAAAAAGGGCTTTGAATGTTAGCAGGGCCTCACAGGTTAAAATTACATGCAGCTGGAGAGCCTAGACAAACTCAGAAGCGGCTGTCATACAGCTAATTTCTCTACTACTTACTTCACTCTATTATTACTTCACCCAACTCAGGAATATAGACATAGTTACGCCCAAGTTACCTGTATTTACCGCCACGACAACCACAACTACCGCTTCCCCCTTAACCCTCAACCCCGTCCCTCAGCCCAGGTGGAGACACTTATTCTAGTGACACAGTGACTCATACAGTAACTTTAATGTTACTGATCCAAATCTGATGATGCCTGTTTGCCGTTAACACTGCATAACGTCAGCTAACTGACGAGGTGGGTCATTAATGTTACTTACTACTTACCTTCTGACAGACGTCTTTTGTTCCAGTGTTAAGTGTTGTACCCATACCTGCTAATTGTTGTAACACATAATTAAAATGCTACAATTTTATTCACAAAGTGGAGCACAGGCTTGTGAGGGTTCTCTTTCTCTCCAGTAAACTACACTGCCTGCCAGTATTCAAAGGGCAAAATTAGCAATATACACTAAAACCATCTTTGTACCAGGCTGTAAACATGTTTTATTCAGCTGTAAAGTTCGCCATTTTAACATGGGGTCAATGGAGACTCCCTTTTGGAGCCATGCTTCAAGAGGCCACTCGGTGAATTGCAGTTTTAGGCATTTCCAGTTCGGCTTCACCAAGGAAACCGAAAGTTGCCGCTTGGTGTTAATGGTGCGTTCCAGTTGACATGGGAACGCCCCCTTAAGTCGGAATCCCTCTTGGGAAGTCGGAGAACCGCACTAGCCCAACTTCGTGATCCAGGATGGCTGTCGGGTATCAACAATTAGTGAAAGCTGTACTTTATACTGTTTATTAGCACTTCTGTGTACTTGTGACTCATATAAATGTTCGTACACAAAGTGTTGTCCAACAGCTGTCTGTGGACGTGTTGCTATAGTGTTTAGTGTGAGTAAATACCGCACAATGTGTTTTTTTAATCAACCGGCATATCAATAGCACACAGCACTAAAATCCCCATCAGGTTGTTTTGTCATGTGACTGCTGGTGACCTTGTACAGTTCCTGTAGTGCATTTTTTAAATTTGCATCTGGAGGAATGTAAACAGCAACAACAAAGCACTGGAGAACTCTCTGGGCAGATAATATGGCCACATCTCAACATTAAAATTCCACATCTAAGAAACATTGTCCATTCATTGTCATATTCACGAAAATGTTAAAAATGGCAAACAATTTGATTTACTTGCCGATTGCAAACTGACATAGCTAGACGGGAACACAGTTCATGAATAACATATAGCCTATTTATGTAATTTTCATTACATTGGTTATATTTTTAATTAGCACCAAGGGCACTGCTGACTGTGTACACTTGGAACTCTTTGAGGTTGGAAATGGGAAATTTCAATAGGGAAATTCTGGCTTCCAACGGTGTTTCCTGTTGTGTGAGGTGTAAATTTGTGTGTGGATAAAAAACAAACAATGGAAATTTATTACAGTGAATAAATACTGGCGTACATGAAGCAGTGACCTAAACTAAAGAGCTGACAACATCAGATCTGTATGGAACGATGAGGAGGCTGTCTGATTTCCATCATATTTCCCACATGATTTTCCATCATTTGAACTTTGGGCTTATGGGAAATATTGTTAGCTAAAACACAAATATTAAATAAAGAACTACATTAGAAAAAAGAAAAACTACTGTCCTTGTCTAAACACATGAAGTTGGCCACAGTATATACTGTTGACAAAGACTCTGCCTTTAGTTATTTAAGTTACTACAAATGTCAGTGGGATTTTGAATTACCTTTCCTACTGAACAGAAAAAGTCCCCCCCCCACCCCACCCCACCCCATACCTGTTGTATTACCTGTCAAAGTGTACGTGAGTGGTACATGGCGATATCTACACGGCAACCTCCAACAATCAACATCAACAAGTCTTCCCTAGAAGCCCAGAGGCGATGGTTGTCCTCAGTCAGGGAGGTGAAGAAGCATGCATTCATCCCAACACAATGCCTCTATCTATGAGGTAATGCATCAGCGAGCGGTGAATAATCAACATGAGCTATGCTGATGAAATGAGTTACTGATATTAATCATTAGAATAACAATCCAATCTACTCTGTTTTCATACGGATGAACTGTTACTCATGAAGCTGTGATATAACCTGAAGCTGCACCAGCTTCACACAGACAGGCTCATGATTCAGCACACATCCCAGTTCATGCCTCGGGCACTTCCAAGAGAAACGTGATAAAATGAAAGTGAGTCTGCAGAAATCCCTCCAGAGGCTGAAATCCCAATATTTTTAATATCTACAGTATCTGTTAGCATCATTTTAGATGCAGTAGTGGCTCCTTTACCAGATATTGGAACCTGCAGTAGGGATTTGCTCCTACTCAGACTTTGTAATAGCATTAGTGAGGTCCAACACTGATGTTGGGTGACAAGGTCTCACAGGCCAGTTCATTCCAAACTGGAAAAACCGCTGTTTTATAGACTTTGTCTCCTGAGGTTGCAACAGAATGTAAGGTGCCTTTTGTTTATATGAAGGGGAAAATGAAGGCAGCCTTTGTTTTTAAGGGTATCACTGTTAGTTCAGTTCTGTCCCATCCCCTTCTCCATTTCTGCATCTGGTTTGCAGTTAAAAAGACTATAAAGAAAATAAATATACATCTGCATGAAGTGTAAAGAGCGGTTTCTGTGATGCTTTTTTCAAAGACTAATATTCCAACTAGAAAAAGAGAATCATATAATGGTCCTTTAAAGTGATTAATTTTTGTTGAAAAATACCTTGTTTTTAAATGAGTGACTCAAAGGTTGGACCTCTCTGATTATTATGCATAACCTCTTAATGTAATTTGCAGTTGTAGGCCAAATGTAGTGCCTTTACCCAAATTCTAATAATGGAATTACAGTTTGAAAATGCAGCAGTTGCCTTGATTATGATCAAAGGCAGTCTGCAGGAAACAGCTAATAAAACACAATATTCATTAGATGTTAAGATGGATGAAAATACTCAGAAAACAGTCAAAAAGTGTGCACTTAGTGAAGAGGCAGGAAACAGGGACTTCTTTTAGACCTTTTTTTTTATTTAAAATATTAATCAATAAATAGCAAATAGAATAAATAACTAAATAAGACATTTACACAACAGACATTGTCAGTTTCAGGGTTGTTGGCCCACAGATGCATATAGCCTTAGGACACTTGTAATAAAAATCCAGTTTGCCCGCAGGCCTGTTAGTGCATTTAGTCTATCACAGAGTTCAAGTATAGAGTTCAAGTGTTCATTTTGTTTGTAAGTAATCACAGTTTTTTTTTTTTCGTCTTTCTTTCAAGTGTCCCTTTTCAGACTGTGCCCTCCGCTCTGACGGGGACCGCTGGCAAGGAGAATCCGACACATGGAGCTTCCTTCCCGGCTGCGCTGCGCGGGGTGCACCGCTGTTCTCGAGAAGCTACCCAGGATCAACTCCAGCTCGTTTCATTTTCGAGTGCAAAAGCCCAGACTCGGGCGATTTACAGCCAAACCAGTCCCAGAGGGCTCAGTTTTCGCTGCCCAATCTGTGGTAGACCAGCAGAGCCACCATGTAGCTCTTCCCAGCGCTCTGCTCGAATGAGGGGCTGGTTTCGGTCTCCTCGCCGGGCTTGGCGCAGGTGGTGTTTGGGATGATCTGTTCGCTGGATGATCTGCCTTTCTCACAGTTGGTCGGTGAGGCTGACAGGAGCTCGGAGCTGGCGCTGAGCTCTGAGAGCTGTAGCGCCTGCTCCTCCGCAGACTGGAAGGGGAAACCCATGTAATCGCTGTCTGAGCTGCCCAGCGACGTCTCGGCGCAGGGCTCCTCGGTGTAGATCTGCCACAACACCACCAAGCACAGGATGACCAGCCAGCGCTTGGCCTGGCTCTTCTCAGGTGGTGGAAGGTGCATGCGGACTTTAGCGGGATACATAACCCGGGTGCAGCGCTTCTTGGGACGGATGGGCACGTAGGAGTGCACGGCGGTGGCCTGAGCCGGTATCCGCTCGAAGGTGAAGACCTCGGGCTCCGTGCTGCGGGTCGCCATCCTGGACAAGGCGAAGCTCTCCCGCTTAACTGTCAGGGTCACGCTGTCTGATCGTGAGTACATTTTGTCTGAGTTTTCTGTCGCTTCCTCGAGTTTTCACTGTAGTAGTCTCTCGGAGATTTCAGAAAGTCAGATAAGTCTTGCACTGCAGAGAGCTCACGTTTTATACTTTCCCAGCTCAGGTTGTGTTTTTTTAGAGACGCCCATATACCGCAGGCCACTCCCTGAAGTTCAGCCAACGCACTTTATTGCACACAATGGGAAATAACTTCAAAAATTTGCTAGTTTGTGGCTGCAGGTCGATCAGGCCGGAGTGAGAAGCTGAATCATCAGGCTTTGGTAAATAAATACAATGAAGTATGTGGACCAAATTAAATAAAGGAACTTGATTTAAATGTGTTGGTATTTCAGTAAGATAAATGCAATTCTAATTATTATGATTATAATAATAATCATTAATAATTTAATACTGAAAATATAACAGTTTGTTTTATGTTGCACATGTGGTTGTAACAATATATATAAACACCATAGACAACAAATATGTGCCCATGCAGTAATCTGAGAGTTGCTCTGCTAAAAAGCTTCCTTCAAATTATCCACATGGAGTTTAGATTTTACCTGAGCAAGAAGAATGACTGAATGAATGTCTATCTGTATAACTTTCTGCTTCATGGCCGGCAGATGTTGGATGTGTCATCTAGATCATGTCAAAAATATAGAGAAGATACAGAATGTAATGTGGGTATTTCATGTGTAAACTTCCTTCTTAAAGCTGGTCTGACTCACATTTTGATAGGAACTTTGTGGATTTGGAGAGTGCTGTGACAAAACCAAGGAGAAAACCAAGGAGTGCACCTGATGTTGAGCCCAAAACAGAGATAAAGATAGGAATATATGATTACAGCATATCCTCGAAAGCCGTGTCTGTTTGATGACAAATTCAAGTGACAACTGATTCTAAAAACATCTTTCCTGAAAATTTACCTTGAGGGGGGGGGTTCCATGTTTTATTTTATCACCCTGAACTGTGAGGTCATCCTAAATGGTGTAATCACAGGATATTGCAATTGTCAAAGTTAGTCACTATATTTTCTTCTAAAAGCTGTGTGGGTGCGTGTGTTTGTGTGTTTATACTGATACTATTATGATTTTTCATTTGATGTTTTTTTAAGCATTTCTAAGTTTATTTGTTAAAAAGATTTCTTCTAAACAAGAGAAAATGCTACAAATATAATGTAATGTTTATATGATATAAAGTGATGAGAGGACTCATCAGTTTATATCAATGTATATATAAAAAAAAAAGATAGCCCACACATATTTGGCTTTCAGTTACTGGAAAACAAGGTAATTAATAAAAAATCAAGAAGTCTAACAGGTTTTTATTCTCTAGCAAATAATTAAACCATCATCTCAGCACTTTGTGTAGGTGTCTGTCAGTGATGATAGGATGGTTATCCCTTCCTGTAGTTCCCTAGAATCTCTGCAGTCTCTGCACCAACCTGTTGTGTTTCACCTTTACACAATGCTGCAAGATCATGTTACCGCATATCTGATCCTTTCCCTCCCCTGCAGAAAAAGAGCTCTTATTTGTTTTAGGTCAACTTTTTGGAGAATGACTCAGATAAGATAATTCAAAAAACTCCAATCCAACAGCCTTGTGATGGGAAATATGTATGCAAAATATATGAAATTCTCATTTCTTTTTAGTTTTCACAAGGTGGCATTTATTATCGCTTTACAATATTCAGTATGCATGAATACCATTCAGGACAGAATCAGGGAAAGTGTGTGCTGTTATCCCCACGATTCAGTGAGTCTCTCTGTCATGGCCTGTCGGAGCAGCTATAAAGACTTTGCCTTCAGACATGATTAGGCAATTTATTAACCATCACTCTGTGTCTGCATTCCTGCTCATCTCACGAGCCTGTATGGGGTTGAAGTCAGTCCAAGTTCTTCCACACCATACTAGGAAAACCATTTCTTTACGGAGCCTAGTGCACGAGGGGCATTGTTGTGCCAAAGTGGCACCATTAAAAGTATACCAATTTAGCTATTAGTAATTCCTGTTTGCAGTAAACTGTATACTGTTCTGGGTGTACAGACAACATCACTGGATTACTTTGATACTGAAGAAAAATGAGTTGTGAGTCCATGAGAAAAAGTACTGTGATGATGAGCAGTCAAATCAGCAGCCACTTGATGTACATAACACACTCAAGGTCCCGTACGCCTGGCTGTAGACTGGTACTTTCCAGCGGTCATACAAGCCATCGTGGGAGGCATTGACAATTTACCTGTTTTGTTGCTTAGGTATGAGGATGTGTTTGTTAAAACTGCAATAACTAACTTCCTGTTGTGTTTAGAACACCTGTATGCACCTGTCCCTTTCACCTCAAATGATATGGTCACAAAGTATTACTGTGTGCTGGATCGTTACATTTCCTGACATGGCCCTATACATTAATGGGATCTGTGTTTAAGTGGAAATTGTGGCCTAGCATTATAGACGAGGTGAGGAGGTCACCATTACAATTAGGCATCCACCTAGGATCCATGAATACCCACAGAACGTTTCATGATCTGTGTGGCCCATATAGTCATAGTCACTACTGGAGGGCCTGTTTGTGTTTCCATATAATCATTAGCTGGTTAACTCAAAACACTTCAGCGGGAATCCCTTCTTCGACCCACTCATTCAGTACAGTTGGTGTCATCTCCAGTTTCACTCTATCAGAGATCACACTGCTGCTACGTGACATGACACAATGCTCTCTTACTACAGAAAACAGCTGCTCAACGGTGAGTGGCATGATGAAATGAATCACAAGCTGTTTTTTGCTTCTGGCATTGTCATCTTTTCCTCAGATGAACTCTTGCATAGGTTGTATTTCCTCATTGATTAAATCCTTTCTCTCTCTCTCTCTTCTTTCTGTATAGCCTGCAGGCTTCAAGCAGCCTGAGCAGCGCTGAAAAAACATTTCGTATCTTGTCTAAGGACATCTGTCTGTCTGTGTGTGTGTGTGTGTGTATATATATATATATATATATATATATACATACATCAATGTGATCTGAACAACGCTATTGCCAGATAGATTTTGAGGGTGAAGGCACTTGGCTCTTAATCAACTAAACCATGAATTGCTCCTCACGTAGTTCCTCTTCCTCTCGTTTCAGCAGGAGACATGCCCCTATTTCACCGCGACATGTATAATTACCACAAGAATGGGTACATTCCTCAGAAAGTGATCAGTATTAATGTGGATTTATTACAAATCTGAAGCGATGTTAATACATCCCAGCGACTACAGTCAGTGTCTAGAATTACAGCCGTACTGTATTTTACTTGCTGATCATTCTAAACCAACCAACTAACCAATCACAAGCTAACATGAAACCTACCAATGTTTTTGGGATTCAACTGAAATTAAGTGGCACATTAACACTTTGACAAGCAGTTTGTTGAGCATTTCAGAAGTAAGGCCTTGATGATTCTAAGAAAGGACTGTTTCATTTATGTCGGACAACAAAGATCTCTGGAGTGAAACTTGTTGTGTTCGCATCCTGCATGTTTAAAATACCTGGAACATATTTCTGTTCCTTTTGTTTCACTGTGAGCTTCAGCTGAAAGAATCAGAAGCATCTGAACCTGCTGCAGTACGAGGACACCAACAGCATGACATCACACACACATACACACACACACTCCGCAGTGGGAACCTTGACTGAGCGTCTGGGTGGCCTGAGCAGAACATGGCTGGAAAATGTGTCACTAAGACTAACTTTTCTCTCAGCTGGGTGTGAGATTCCTGACACTTTACATGCATCTACACACACACACAGTCTAAGTGTTTCCAAATATGGCAGGCAGTGAGGCGAGCAAAACTGAACGAAATGTGACATGATACAGAAATGATTTGGTGGTCAGAGGTCAGTTCCAACCTACTACCCCAGATACCCAGTGTTCTGTGATTGATCTAGAAGTGCTGATTATGGAGGAGTTATATCAGTCAGAGAATCCTGAAAATTCGGGGGCATTTGGGGAACATGCCTTTATCAATGTGCAAAGATACTTTAAAATAATGAACCAATGGAATGACTCTTCCAGAAACTTCTGGACCATTGGACACATCACACCTTCTAGAGGAGTTCGATCCCCAAATGGATATTTGTGTGCCTTTATAGGCTAAGTGAGGACATACGTAGATCCATCCTGTTTCATCTAAACCACATATCTAACTTACATGTAATATATTTAGTTCTGTTCATTGTTATTTATATATTTTCATCTGGTTTGAATTGACGACTTTCTCATTTCATTTATGATTCTTTAATTAGCTCTGTATTTATTATAGCTAAAGCGTCATGTTTTTATCCTTCATTAACAATGTAAGCATCCCACTATTCTTTTTTGTATTTCAGCATTAAGGTCTTATGTGAAAAAACGCCAACTTGAAATGTGTTGCAATTTTTGTGTGTTCTTCATGCCATTCAGTGCCTGTAATTGTAAACATTATATATTTAACATATTAAATGCTCTCTTTCTGCATTCAGATTATTCAGCCTTTTCTTCTTTGTGAGCAATGAACTGGCACCATCCTCGAAAAATATGACTTGCTAGAATGCTGGAATCCAACTACAGGAATAAAGTCAAGAAAATACCTGAATAATGATAAATGTTGAAATTAACTTTTCCAGTCTGATGGGGTTCAAGTGAAGTGGTTGTGATTTATTGGTTCACAACATAGTCACACAGGTTAGAGTGTTGTGTAATCATCTATCAGTGAAACCAGTCATATCAGAGAAGCTATTTTTCTCAGGAATGAGCGTATGCGAAGTATGAGAAATTATGAATGTAATGTCTCAAACAAAGAATCAAACAAAACATTCCACTTCTCAGTCAAGACGCTCCCTCCTCTCGACTGAAAGGTGTTTGCTGTTGCTTATCTGCTGTGGAACATCTCAGACTTTCATAGTTCGTTTGCTTTACTGAAAGTGCATGCTTTTGTTTCCTTCCTTGTATTGATGTGTCCTGCAAAGAGACTGCAGATGAAAATGTCAACATTACGTTGAATTAGTCCATGGTCTTTTACTATTATCCCGTCAAAAGAATCTGTTCACAGTTCTATGATGTGAGTCTGTTCAAGGATTATATGATG